CAGTAATGGTTTGTGATTACTATGCCCAAAAATTCACCATGATTCTTCTAAATTTTCCCTCCCAAGATGCAGTAAATTTTCGTTCTTGCAAAGAGCCAAAAAGTCATTGTGAGGGTTTAAAAATCATGGTAAGGATAATTAAAATGGTACCCAGAAAACACAGCTCTGCCTCTGCTTCTATTGGATTGTAGATCTGACACCCTATTGCTAATGATCAAGTAGTACTATTTGTAATTTTATGGCTCAGGTCTTATTTATATTGGAGGCAATAATTTCTTACATATGAGATTTGTGTTTTGTCAAATTTTTAATATACAAATATATATATATTTTTTAAATCAGATTTATAAAAAGATTTATTTCTGATATCAGAAAGATCTATTTTTCATATTGATATTTGTTAAATTATATGTTTGTCTTTTCTTATATTGCAACAACAAACTATAAAGCACTGAAATTACTTATAAACTGTTCAATAATTTTAAGATGCAATTGTTTAAGCTTATCATATTAGTGAGACTTTATCATTGAGTATGTGACCTTGTAACGTGTCTAAATTGATTTTTTTGTAGGTTATGGATTGCATCTAAAATAATGATAAATAATATTGCAGGAACACCATCCCCATTATAGTGTTGCTTGGAGGTTTATAGAAAAATACCAAACAGGGAAAGTTATTGAAGAAATGAGTGTCCTCTGCAGTCTGTCTTTGTCTTGTACTGTAAACACAAGTAATTGCAGTTTTTGGAGCTTCTTAAGGCTACTGCAACCATTTTTAATGCACCCTAGATAACTTGCAAAACTCCTTAATTTCACACCTTTGTCTTTCACTACTTGTGGTCCAAAGGTATCTCTCTGGATCCTACCCTTCTTTCCTCATGTTTCAAATAAACATCTCCTATACTTACATGTATATATACCAGTAACCATACTTCATCTCAGTAGCTGATTACAGTAATACCCAACATCTCAAACAAAAATCTTGGGCTACTATAAGGATATCCCATTCAACTTTCATTTCTTTTGTATTATTGAAGGTAAAATAATATGTTTTTGATAAAATGAAATTAAAAATTTTGTCTTAATGTACGAAAATTAGTTCAGTCAATACTACTAAACAAAAAGAAATGAACGAAAAATCTACCCATATTTGCCGTATATCAGGTTATTAAATTTATTAGTACTCATGTCAATTCTATCTCCACATTCGTATAGTAGTTATGAATTAACCTACGAAATTATTGAGTCGGTAATATTTATAATCTTACAGTAACTTATTAAAGTTAATTAAAGATTTAAGATTTTTTTTAACTTGATAAATAATCTAAAAATTAGTACTGATAGTAACAAGACACGTAGTAAAATTGAAAAAAAAATGATTGTATTTAGGACCCAGATAGCTAAACTGCCTACAGACTAGTTCACTGTAAGAGTGGCACAAAGAGAGAGATAGAGAGGGAGAGAGATGCAATCTATGTGGGTGTCTTTGAAGGAGAATGTGAACTGTGTAAGCAAGCGAAGTAATGTGATTCATAGGCCGGTTGGAAATGATAATGGCAAGAAAAAGAGCTGCAGCTGCAAACCAGAGAAGGAAAAGATGGAGAGTAGTCATGAGGTTGTTCGTCAAATGGGAAAGCCAGTATTCTGCAAAGTGCTTTTCAGGCCAAACTATCCAAGAACACAGTTCTATGGTGAGTCCTTGTTCTGGAATTACTTCTTTCTTTTCTCTCTTTTTTCTAATTAACCAAACACCACCATCATTTTTTTTCTGGGAGCAAGATTCTAAGTAACCAAACACCACTACATAAGTTTCATGGTCATGACAAACGTTACCTTTGCTTAAATCTGTTTCAAGAATCACTTTTTTAAAATGAAAAAAATTAACCCTTTTAACTACAAATTTCTTAGCCTTATTAAACTTTTTTTGGTGTTGAAAGTTTGGTTTTTTTGTCTTATCAATTTTACTATTTGAATGATAGCGAGAGAAGGTATATAATCATAATGAGGGGTGTAAGCGAGAAAGAATTTTTGGTTTCTTCTCCTTTGTTTGAGATTGCTTCTTGTCAAATGAGAGGAAAAAGAATACAAAGTTAACTTTTTCAACTATGTAAATGTCTTTGATTTTCCTTCAATATAAAGTAGAATTTGAAGGACAAAAAGTTGATACAAAAAAACTATTTGTTTCTAATGTCAAGTTGATGATCTGAAACAAGGTTGAACTCGGAGTTGAATTCGTTGTAAGTCCGATTAAGTTTTAAAATATGTTCTTAACATGTTAAAAGAGAGTCAAATTAGACTATAACTATATCTAATTTTAGTCCAACTATGCTCAAGATTATATTTTTGTTTCTTAAAGTTTTTTGGGTTGTTTTATTCTTTTAATATAATTTGTTTTTGGTTATTAAATTTTTCATTACTTTTTAAAAAATTTCAATTTGAAAACATAAATTTGTCTGCTTTAAAAACTTACTTGCATTATTAACTTTTTAAAGAAGCAAAATTTGCTTTTAAAAATTAAAAACATCAAGGTTTAATTAAAATAGTATTCGGGTTGAGTCGATTTTGATTTTGGGAGTCCTCGTATTAATTAGGGTTACGTTAATGATCATATCTTAATTCAGAAATGTAGAAAAAA